GAAGACTCCGTTGTCCTATCATCACAATTTTTGTTACTTTGTAACACCATTGTGTTGTTATCTCTATATATGGAAATATTTTTATACACATCTGTTTCAACATTCATTAAATTATCATTGGTTTTGTTTTTTTCAAAATGTTTACCTATATCATGGTACAGTGGTACACTGTACCAGGTACAGTTTAGAAAGGAGTGAATACCCTTCGGCCTTCACTGAGTGCTTTTATCGGCGTTATGTACCTATATTTCACGCAGAACTTTCCATTGCATTTAGTTTGTCTTTCAGCAAACTAATTTCATTTATTATCGATTCTTTATTTTTCACAATCGTTTCATTCTTGGGTAAGTTAAAAAAAATTATAAATTATAATAATTTGTATACATTCTATACTTAGTAGGTTCTTACTAATTTCGGTTTCCCGAAAAAAATTGAGCTCGGAATTGTACTTGTTACACAAAAAGTTACTAAAACTAATATCACGATAATTTTTGTCATGTTATTATTTTTTTGACATTATCTTGGTATTATAATCGTCTTCAATCTAAAAACAAATACGTAACAATATATTATTTCCAGTTACAAATTACATTATTTTAGGAAAATCATTATTATACTATATATATCCTACTACTACATAAATTAAACAAGATTTATTCATAGGTAATTTTCAACCATATATTTTGTTAATTTTCTTCCAATGATTCATCTGTCCATGGTTGTACCATAGTTCCATACCGAATCAAAAATGGCATATATATAGGTAGGTACCTACTACAAAGCGGCGACCATCGTAAAATAATATTACCTATCGTCTTCAGGACATCAATTTCAACTTCTATCTATGTGACTTTTTAACTTCATGTCATAACTATTTAATAAAAATAAGAACATTCAAAATGTTTTTATATTATATTAACACAAAAGTAAATATTCTATTTTCGACACAACTACAAAAAATTGGAAATATAATGTATGTTCAGCAGGAAACTATAAATTAAACTATCATATTTGGGTGCAATTGTGTCTGAAGTTTTTACGTACCTAGTTATACTTATTAGTTACTACCTAGGTAAACAACTTGTACAGAATGACTGAATCGTAATCTTGTTTTCAATAATAATGATTAATAGCAACGATATCATCCGTATCTAGACTTTTACCTCGAGAAGGTAAACCATTTTACTCGCCCAAACGGACTATTAATTTTTCGGTAAAAATTATTACCTTCGCCCAAACGACCACCGCCAGTTGAAAGACATTGCAACGTTCCTATATGGAACTAAAAGTCTTGTGTGTTAGGTATTCAGAACTCTCCTTCTTATACTATACTTACGACTATTAGAAGTTTTTTTCTGCGATTTTCATTGGAATAGGAACAAGGTGAACAATTAAGTAAGTAAAATTTAATGACATAAATAAAGAAACGCTTTGAGTAGGCACCATAATATAATACGTACCAAACAATAGTATACTAATAATAAAGGACAAATACATGCATATTATATATATATATATATATATATATATTGGGCGCCCAAGAACAATATGATTAATTAATATAGTGAAATATAGGTAGTACAATGACACATGAATAAACGTATTGGGTAGGTAAACAGTACCGAAAAAAAAATATAATAATTATAAAAAATAAATGTATATGTAGAATATAAAATAATGTAATGTACATTTATAAATATTAAGCAATAGATGTACTTAATGACAATTGACAATATTATAAGGAATAATGGGTGTATAGTTAATGACCCATAAATATTAAATATACGGTAGGTACATAGGTATTAGGTAACACAAAAAAAAGAGGGTGCCCAAAAGAATAATTTGGTAAATAATAAAACATAATATGTATGAGTTATGAAAATTTATAAGGATAAAAGATGTAGGTAACAGAACTAAAATAATAACGTATAATTGGGTATAAGGTTATAGAGGTATTCTGTATCGTAAAAAAAAAAAAAATAATAATAATATGTAGGTATATATAGGGCCCAAAAGAATAAAATAAAGAAATATAACAACAGTACAATACTATAATATAATATGATCATTTTATAAGACGAATATTGATAACAATATATTATCATCTATTTTTTTTTTTTTTATTAATTATCCCGCTGTAACTTAGGCCATTGGGAGGGGGGTGGTACTGTAGGTTTTGGAACGGTAGGTGTGTTACACGTGGGTGTATTTTTTGGAATAATTTCGAATGGGGCACCCGTAGGTTAGGTTAGGTTTATCATCTATTACTGAGACCTGAAATATGGCAACTCGACTTGGATATATTATCCAACTGTTCAAGTTTGTAATTCATTTCATACTGCCATCGAAGGGCGGCGATGGGTGACGAATTGTGAACACGCGGACGGAGAACGAACAGGGCGGATTACCGGTCCACAAGCTCGCACACCACAAACACGTTAAATACCTATGGGTAGACTGCTCTGGTTAATACCTCGCGGATACGTGGTTAGGTTAGGTTAAAGAGCAGGCTCGACGTTCCAGGACAGCCGTATGCAGGCTCGCATGCAGGCTTGGCGTTCAACATGATGGAGGCGAATGTTAAAGGACGGCGGCAACAAGCACAGCTGTTCACCCCGGTACACAGACACGCAGGCCAACGCACATGTGGGCCGTTTCTGATGACTTCGTCAGACCAATCACGTTTGCCGTTGATTCAGCGGGAGACGAAGTAAGTAACTGTCACGTCGCACGTTCGACGCGGTTACCAGAAAGATAGCCAAACAAGTTCGCGACGATTGACCTGTAACAAAATTCAATATAAAAACATCATTATAAAATAATCAGTACCTAACACAACATTATTATCATATTATTACCTAAGCTAAGACACATTTAACACTTAAGGAGCTTTTAAAACACCATCAAAAAATTTAATTTCATAAAAATCCCAGCTTACTTATCTTTATAATAATAATAATAATAATAACAGTCAATACTCCCGAGGTGGTTAGACTCAATATTGTGTAAATCAATATCAAGCAATTATGCAGTTATTAAATAGCTATTAATGGCAGCTGCTGCCCTCGCTGCGTTTGTGTTGGTGGAAGCGATTGAATGGTAATATTATTACGGTACGCTACATACTTATTATTATTACTGATTTAATATTCGTGTATTATTTATAAAATAAAATGTTTCTATGTTCTATTAAATATATAAATAACAACGAAACCATATTATAACTTAAAAGAATTAAAAAAAAAAAAACAAAAATTGGTGAAGGTGCATTTACGCCAAGTCACGCTGCTGAGAGCTATATAGTAGTACTTACATCAAAATATGGTTTCCCTAGACGTCACGACGGTAGCGATTTACATGCCCGCCATCCAGACGACGGCCAATGGCGCCAGGACGATTACCGAAAAAAAAGTGACGTCAGAAGATGTCTTCCGATCGTGATCCAACTGGAGGTGGCCGTGGTCGTCCACTGATTCGTTTGGGCCCTTGTAACGAGCGGCAGCACGGTCTGGTCGTCTAGCAACTGATGCGCGCTTGTCGGCCCCGCGGGGTCGAACAGCGTCCGGCAGCCACCTCTGACACCCAGGACGCCGGTAACAGCACGGGCCACCCGGGTCGCCATGGCACCATCAGCAAATGTGGCCGGTTGTCGCTGTCGTAAAATGCACAACTGGTCAACGAATTTGACGCATGTTCGTCCGCCGGCCGCACCGCTTGCTGCAGCACCGCTTGCCGCACAGCTGGCGAACGGCGGAGTCTCCTCGCTGCCAGTTTACCCCAACAAAGGCCGCGGTTTCCCTCAAGAACTGCCTGTAGGTAATATATAATGATGCGAATAATAGTTATTTAGCTACAGTCATAAATCATAACAAGAACAACAATTCGTTTGTTATAGGTAATGTCAAAAAGAAAGCGTTATTTTCACGTCGCTTGGTATTGTATTTTGTTACAACGCCGCGTTATTCTCGCGCGTGAAAGCACCACGCATAAGATATAACATAATATACATTTTCAAAATATGTGTCTAAAAGAGCAATGACCTTTTTTATATTTATACGTTTACTGCCTAATACATGTGTATTTTTTTTATGTGGTTTTGCTCATAAGTAATATTAACTAACCTTCTGGTTTTTGGCTACTCGTCGTTAGTGGGTTGATCTTGGGGTCTTGAGCTCCTCCCTCGTGCGTATCCTTATCTCCATCTGGTGCATTTTTCCGTGGCGTTAAAATGTCTATAACAAAAAAACTGTTTATATATTTTTTAGATTTGTTGGTAGTAGCAGTATGAACTATTTATGAGAATAGATTTAGTTAAATTCACAATTTTTAGCTATGAAAATTGAACATTTTATATATTTTTAATTACAAAATAATTTGTTAATTTTCAAGATTTTGATAAATGTTGTCAACGTCAAAACTTTAAAATTGTATTAAAAAAATCATACCTATGAATCTTCTTTACTGCTATTATATAAACCTTGTATTATATTTTCGAGCAAACGAAAACAATTATAATTACATTTATAGAAAAAAAGAACTAAACAAATTGAAAATTCAATATATATCAATAATTTAATATATATATATAAATAACTCGAAACGACTAACGAGCCTACATATTTTGAAAATTATATATTGTATACTGTATACAAAATGTGAATATAAATGTAAAGTGATAATGTAATGCTATGCTAATTTTTTGATAGTTGCATCAAAAACCAAAATCAATTTTGCGTAAACATTCTCGTTTTTTTAAAAATATTTTTTCCTGTCGCTTTAGAAAATTACTGGGAATATTACATTTTGATCTCCCAAATGCACCAACCATGTTCACTTTTGCACCAGAAATAATACCTATATGTACAGAATATAAGTTGAACATCGAAGCATTATTTTGACTACATTTATCCATTGGTTATAATTTATATTAGATGATAACACTGCAAAGACCGCATTGTAAAATCAAAACAATCATCGCTTTGGTTAGGCTCTAAAATAGTTTAGCACTTATATCGGCAGTATAGGTACTTGTATATTTTGTTATTATGTCTCGGGTCGTTGGAGTGTATTAGATACTTACCAATGACATGGTGGATATCGAGTGTGGCTCTTGAGTTTAGAGACAATTTTCTACTATGGTCACAATCTTCATAAGATTATCGTTTTCGCTTGTAGTCAGGTAAGGTCAGGTTGGTAGCTACAGCTACGTTCTCACCGGTATCATGGGCCTTAAATAAGTCCAAATTGATTTTTATTAATATAGTGTCTTTCAGGCATAATTTTTCTCATACTCTATGCGATGTATAATATACAACATAACCCTTGGATACGTACCCGGAGACACGTCTGTCTCAGCAGTAGCACGTTTGTCAGAATCCGGGGCCATGCTGGACACCCCCTCATCCGATTTGTCACGGTTGACTGGTAACGAAAGTAGCAAGCCCGCTCCGTTGGACCTGATTTTTACACCAGATCCACTTGCTACCAACGAATCCTGGAGATCCTGTCCCCCTGGAGTTGTAACAATATTTTTACTTTTGCTATTCATGTTATGGTTTGCGGTTTTCCTTCCGTCCATTTTACCTGCTGGCAGGGATCCGTTTGCAAGTGTTGCAGGTGGACCGGGCGTGCCAGCCCCAACCAATTAAGGTCTTGACTGGCTCTAGGGTGGAACCTCTTAGCACGGACCAGTGATTGGCCCGTGAGCCCCCCCACCACGGCAAGGTGGGTCCCATCGGGGGGGGGGAACTCCCCACCACATCAAGGCGGGGGAGATAATGTTATTTATTTATTTGTAAATACGCTGCATACACAAAAACAATTTTCTTTTCTTTTTGTGGGACTTAAGTTTTTAAGAACGAAAGTTGGTAAGAAAGTTTGCCAACTTTAAAACACCGGTGGCAGTCCACATTGTTACTATAATCCATTAATTATTCATTATGATAGCCGATGATAGGTATTCAATTGAAATCTATCTTTGGAATTGTTAAAATGAAAGTATCTATAGTCATATAATTAACTATACTAATGCTGGACATTAATGAGTATAAGTTAAAAATGTAATAAGTTTTTGAGTTTCCGCTGATTTAAATATTAATAGTTATTTAACTTATATAAAGTTATATAGTTAGAATCCTGGTTGTGATGAATTAAAAAAAAATAATATGTTCAGCACTAATATTGCCGTATAGGTATCAAAAACAATAATAACAATATTTTAATGAACTATAAATATTAAATTATCGTGAATATAAAAATACAAATATACATATAAAATCATTCATTTTTCGATTCAATTAAATTTTATAAATATAGAAAAAAAAAAAAAAAAAATAATAAAACAAAAAATTGTAAACTAATTGTTGAATATTCTAACTAAACTAAGTACACAGATTAATTATAAAGTAAAAAAGAATTTATAAAAAATTAAAAATGTTCAAACGATTTAAATTTTCTTAAATCTAGTTTAAAATATTTACATAATTTAGCACCATAATATTAATTGTTTCCTGATGAATAAATGTAGGGTAACATAAGACAGATCTGATGACTGATTTAATTTTACGCCTAGTATATATAAATGATAAACTGTAAATTATTATTTTACATTTGTATTCGGATTATACTTTGGATTTATAAAATAGTTTTCTAATTAAATTACGAACATAATACCTATTGATACCTATATTATATAATCTTTCAATTTAAGGTTTTTTGCAAAAATAATACCTAAATATTTTAATTTAATAACTTTTTTCATATTAAAAACAGTTATTTATAAATTTATAAATTATTCAAGCATCTGAAATTAAGTACGGTGATATTTGTTAATCGAATTTTTTACTAATTTATACTAAAAAACATATATTTAGATTTTTTAATATTCATTTCTAGAAAATGTTTATGTAACTAAGTTTATATATTATTGATTCACTAAGTAACACAATATTCATCAATATCTTTTATGTTCAATTTAAATTATAAATAATGTATCATCAACAAAACAAATAATATCTCCTGGAATATTAGGATTAATAAGACTATATTTTATGTAAATAAGAAATAACAAGACGACTGTTCCTCGAGTTTCACAAGTTAACATTACTTCAATTTAAACTACTTGCAAATTGCAATTTATTTGAAAAATAATATGAAATAAACTATAAAGTATAAACACATCTTGAGCAAGACCAATAATACCACATTAATATTTTAATATTTTTTTTATATAAATTATTTTTTTAATCTGGATACAAACAAATTATCTACCTTATTATTGTCATTGTCATATCTACTAGAATGAATAAAATTCGAAGCTAATAACAGACAACAGTGCGAATTTTGTTGATTTATTTTTCCAAAATCCAAATTGGTTTGTAGTAAAAAAGTTATGTATATTCAAAAAATCAATCAAACGCTGTTCCACTGTTTTTCAAATATTTTGAATTATGGAAATAAATAGAGAGATATAGCCATAATATAGGTCTATAATTTGTACAGTGATCAATATCGCTGGATTTAATAATTTCGTTATTAGTCTTACCTACGACTTCCTGGATATTCGACAGTTTTCTGATATATGGTAGCATCATCTCCATCATAATGTGATCGCTTTCGGTTGTAGATCATTTTGGAGATACTATATAAATCGAGGCGAAATTCCAAAAAGAAAAATTGTTAAATATAGTGCACACTGTTTTTTTAGCTAAATTAATAATTAAATATGTTTATTATTCAGCGTCGATATACCGACCTGCTAGTATCCGTCGTTATCTCGTTTGAATGTTTATTTATTTTCAGCCAGCAACAATCAATTACGTACCTTATAGTATTTTTATTATTATATTAGTTTTACGTAGATTCACGCCTAAATAAAAATTAAATCGCAATATTTTAACTTCAAGCAGTTATATTCTATGATTCACTTTGACTGAATTTTTATGCATTTGCGTTATATTATACTATATTTTATTAAGTGAATATATAGGTATACTATTATAGTATTATACTGTTTTATCATTTGCGTTGTTTAATAGTTTAGCCGTTTAGGGTATAATAACTGTAATATATTATACTTCTACCTATTATATCAATAAATACGTATAATATAATTTGGAACCAATAACGATTATACACTGGTGAATAAAATTACAAACGTAATTTAAAATTATAAAATAAATTATTTACATAACTTAATATCAAAATTAATATACAAAACTTAAATCAATATCAATTCAAGCAGAGCTCTACACGCTCAGTCCATCTCAAGCCCAGTCCCTTTCGAGACCAGTCCATCTCGAGAGCCGTCCATGTCCACAAGTAGAGGAGAGTGTACCTCTGCGGGAATTATACTTCTGCAACATAGAGCATCTTCAGAACCGGACCAGTAGGTAAGACCGACACCATTCAACTTCGAAGACACACGCACATTTTCGCTCTATATTTTTTTCAAAACAATAAGTAACTTTCTGTCGTTTTGCCATTATTTATTCAAAAAATCAAATTTAAATATTACATTACATTAATGCACCACGTATGATCTTATTGGTTCTAAATTCATATTTCACGACAATTTAAACAAATCATATCATCTTTTTATTTACCTATATAAAATCTTTTTACGATATACACAGTATTTGTTCACTCTGCATCCTCGAAAGGTAACGATTCAAAACTACATATTAACTCCTGTGTGTCCAATTTACAAAATAGTTATAATACAAACGTTAATAGGATAAAAAAGACATCTGCTAGTATTCGAGAGAATAACTATTCGGATGGGTCCTTTGAAATATTGTATTATAAATATATTGTAAGGAAAGACACATACCTGATATCAAACATTGAGATATTGTGTATATCACACAAACAACGAATTATTATAAATAGACGCTAAAGTACTGAGTAAGACTCAATCGATTAAAATAGAAAAAGGTTTCATATATAAAGATTGTAGTGTAATACTACAAAACAATAATATTGCAGATATACGAACTTCAAATCTCATAAAGATCAGACGTGCAATTGTAGAAGTGAATCATTGTAATAATATAACGTTCATCCAACCACGAATAGTAAAAAACAACTTCAAAGACATCCAGACTGACTAGTACATCGCTATAACAGTCAAGGTAACTGAGACCATACTTACTAGTATCTAAGTCAAAACGAAATTCCGTTCGCGGTCACAAATCATAATAATATCTTGTAGTAGAGTAAAATCATTTACAAATATACCCCAATTGTATTTCCATTCTAACATTTTTAATTTACCTCCCCCTTTTTACATGATTTTATTCTACCACATAACTAATAAGCATAGGTATAAATTATGTTTCAGTTTGTTTGTACAATTGTACCTCAGTAATTTGAGTAAATATGTCACCCATTGACAACACTCCTATGTAATCTTCGCGTCATAATATAATATGTTATGTATATCGAAATATTGTAATTTAAGTATTTAAAAAATAAACATTAATTAATATTAATATTAACATAAATTAATATTTTATTTATTAAATTGAGGTTTAAAAATTCTATCATTATTATTTTCTTGCTACATGTATTAGGTAGTGATTTTATTTGTTGAAATTATGAATTTTTGATAGTCCCTATTAATAATTTTTTGTTATTATAGGTAGGTATCTTTTATACCTCCTACGGTAGGTATTGTAACTTAAAAGGTGAAACGATTTATGGATTTTATTGCATATTTAAATATTTGTCAATTTTAGCTCATCTGACTTCTATACTTCTATGCCCTAAATTCTAATGATTACCTATACTAGGGCACTAAAGATACAGGTATGCTACGCCGCCATTTTGCGACTAATAATCTTACGTGAATATGAATTTCTCCCCCTTTATTTTATCATTTTATCATTGATAAAAGAGTCGCAAAATGGTGGCATAGCATACCCATGGTATGTAGAGCCTTACCTATACCAGGGATGGGCAACACAATGCTACCAGAGGGCAAATTTTGAATGTGCATAAATCTAATACCAATAGAAAGATATTTTGCGTTAGCAATAATGACAATTTAATCAGAAATAACTAGTAGGTAGGTACGGAAAGCAGATTTTTAAGAAATTATCACTTTATTTTCAAATCTCCAATCTAGGAGAAGGTTATCTAAATATATAAAAATGAATTGCTGTTCGTTAGTCTCGCTAAAACTCGAGAACGGCTGGTCTGATTTGGCTCAAATTTTTTTTAAGATGTTCGTAATTGCCAGGAAAAGGTATTGATACGAAAGAAAATTTTTGGAAAATCCACAGGAAAAGTAGGAAATCTGGATGTAAAAAATATAACAGTGTATTATAATTTATATTGATTGCTATTGGTTAATCGGACATGTTTGTTGATTTGTGTCAATATATATACAGCGTGATTCTTTTATCAAACAACACTCATTATTTCAAAAAGTGTAAATTTTTTTGAAAATATTTTTTTACATAGTTTCAAGTCGCTTATAAAACAACGTTTTTATTAAAAAATTATATTTTTAAATATTTTTTATCCTTATAATTTTTTAAGTTTTTTACTTTTTTGAATAGCAACATAGGGTTTTAA